ACTGAAAAGAAGGATGAGCAAGGAAACGGCCTGAGGCAGGCCTTGACTTGGCAGGACTCGGGCTACTGAAGGCTTTAGACCAGTGGACGATGTGAGTTGTGCTGGCTTTTATTTGAAAAGATTTCTTGGGCTGCCATACCGAGAATAGGCTAGAGAGATCAAGGGCAGTAGCGAGAAGACCAGGGAGGAGGCATGGGACAGGGGTGAAGCTAAAGTAGCAGCCGGAGTCCTGAGTCTGGAGGTGGGGGCGTGGCACACATTGGAAGACAGATGTTACTTGAGGCCACGGCAGATTCAAACACCTAGGAAATGTGTGGGTGGAGATGAAGAAGAGAAAAGGTCCAAAAATGAGCCCTGGGGCCCCCAGATGTGTGGGGACTGAGGGAGGACGGAGACGCTGCAGACCCGTGTCCATCCAGAAAGCAGGGCTGTGGCACGGGGAGCACTGAGTGCCCAGCCGGGGAGGTCCCTGGGGAGCAGGGCCAGCATGTACAGGGGACTGCAGTGCCCAGAGAGGGTCTCTTTTAAGAGAAGACAAATGAGTAGGCTAGGCAAGGGGGCAGGCAACATCCTGGGGGGGGTGCCGGGGCCAGGGTGGGGCCCCCGGGCAGTGCACGAAGAAGCACAGCTGCCTCTCCGACGACAGGAAATGGGGGCGGGGGGGGGGGGGGGGGGGGCATGGCGGTCTCGGTTGGGGTGAGACAGGAAGCTACCGGGAGAGCCCTGCAGCCCCAGCCCGACCTGATCCTCCTCAGCCTTCCCAGACACCTTGGCTGTAACCCTAGGAGTCAAGGTAACTGGAAAGTGCTTTCGTGTCTTTTCCTTTCAAATTAACCTACAGCAAAATGGAGTTTTGGGGGGTTCAGTTCCGTGAATCCCCGCACTGCACAGAGTGGAACCAGAGCAGCTCCTTCACCTGCTGGGATGTTCGGGGTCCCCACAGCAGCTAGGCTGGGGCGGGCAGGGCCCCACTCGACAGTCAGAGATGATGGAGGCTGCAAGGCACCGCAGGGATATCGGCACAAAGGCAAGAGCCAGGGAGACATCAGCAGACCAGGCAGCCAGGGTCTCTGCCCTTGGGGGTTGTGAGTCCCAAGGGGCCTCCAGGGCCCTGCAGATACGGCGACAGCAGTGGAGGTAGAGGGGCCTCCATCGTGAAGAGGCTGGAGGACTAGGGCCCTTGGGGCGTGCTGATGTGTGACACTGGGGTCAGGGGGCAAGGTGCCTCTGTGCTTGGCGGGAGCCCTGCACGACACCCGGAAGACCCGGGCTGACAGGGCCGAGGCCACGGGTCCTCCCGAGCCTCCTTCAAGCTGATAGAGCCCTCGGCTGGGAAGGGGTGCATGCTGGCTGCAGACATAGGCACGGGTGCTACAAAGTGTGGATGTGGTGTCACCGCAGTGTGTGCCTTGTCGGTGGCAGTGACAGTCTTGAGGGTGGCAAGATCCCCTTGGGAGCGGTAGAGATGGAGAGGTGACCTGAAGGACCCCATCCTGGGCCGCTAGGACGGTCCCAGGTTGGGAGAGTAGCTGGAAGAGGCCTGAGGGGAAGGGTGTTGTTTCCGCTCAGCCTTGGTCACTCTTCTGCTGGGACATCCCGAACTGGGCTGTGGGGACGTTGTCAGGCTCCCGTGTGTGAGCTCGGGTCTCTAGGGCAGGCCTCTCTTCGAAACTGCCGGCACTCACCCAACCAGTGTCCCGGGAAGTGACTGTGCTCTTCCGTGCTGGGTGGCCTAAAAACACCCCATCGTAACACCAATACCGGCGGGGAAGTGGGGCCTGTGGGAAGGCCAGACGGGAGCCCCAGGAGTCCCCACCGTGCGCTTGCGCGAGAGGCCCTGGCACTCCCAGTTGGTGACTGTGTGACTGCTCTGTGCCGTGCTCTGTTGATAGGTGACAGACAAGGCTAGTGACGGGACAGTCATTAAAGTGCAGGGAGACCTGAGAAGGGTGTCAGCAGGGCTCTGGCCTGATCACGTGATCCAGATCCAAGTGAGGCGACAGCTCAGCTAGAGGAAAGGGTGTCGTGCAGGCCATCAGCTCCTTACTGGGAAATTTAGCACAAAGGCCCCCAGGGTCAAGGGCAGTGGGATCCAGCTTACTCTCCTTTCTCCGCCACTGCCACCATGTAGCCGCCACAACAAATGTCCCAGTAGCTCTCCCCCAGTTCTGGAAAGGCCCAAATAATGAGGCCACATCTGCAGTGACTCCGAAAAGTGAAATCTAGTTGTTTTCATCAGAAATGTCAAATGATGATCACCTCAATTTCCGTGTTACCCCTTTCTCAGAAGCCCATCTGGGGGAATTAAGGAACTGAGTGCAAAGAGTTGGACATCTGTCATCCAGAAGCTGTGACTTCACCAAATTCAAAGAAAATCCTACCCAGACTTAAGATTTGGAGTTAGAAAATTCCAATTTTATGGAGCTTTTTGGCTAATTATTTTTGCCCTGAAGTGACTGAGGTTCAACTGGTTTAAGTTGATTTCAGTTGTGCATGTGCACCAGTCCTGCGTTGTGCAGTGATAGTCCTGCGTTCCAGACGCTGGAGGGTTGAGAGACTCATTGTCAGCGGTGTGGTTCATGGTCTAAACTAGGGGGCAGCAAACTTCTATAAAGGACCCGAGAGTAGTTATTTTTAGCCTTGCAAGCCAGGTCTCTGTGACAACTCCCCAGCTCTGCCCTACAATGTTGAAGACGGCCACAACCCATGCAGAAATGAATGGGCATGGTTGTGAGCCAGGAAAATTTTATTTGTGAAAGCAAACCGAGGGCAGTGTTAGCCCTTGGGCCACAGGTTGCCATAGGGAGCCGGCTCTCCATCTCAGCACAAGGCCAGTTGGCTTGTGCGGGGCCCTGCAGAGGCCTTCCCTCCACCCAGCAGAGGTCCACTCTGGCTTCTAGAACCAAGATGGAGCCTGGGGGAGGGGGGGTCCAGGGAGGGAACAAAGAGAGGCAACAGCTCTGTGGCTCATAAACCTGACGACGTTTGAGCACGCATCTAAGTGCAGGTGGGACTGAAGAGACGAGGGGTAATTCGGGAGCACGATCCTGTGGGAGGTGCCTGAGCCCAGCTGGGGCCGAGGGCCACCGTAGCCGAGGATTGGGGCATCGGGGGCCGCCTTCGCTGTGGAGAGTTATGCTGATCTGAGGTCTGCAAATGCCAGAGGAGCAGCCAGGAACAGGACGTAGAAGAGGCCGAGTGGAGGCAGAACATGGCGGATTCCAGTGACTACAAGTTACTGGCTTGGAAGGTGAAGAGGGGAGGAGGCGAGCACAGGCCGCAAGCAGCGCCAGCCTGTGAAGTGCCTCCTCGGAGGGCAGGAGACACGCAGCCAGAAGACTCCTAGGAGGGAACCGACAACCCAACCAGACGCACCAGACGCAGGCCTGGAGCGTTGTAGGGAGGCTTGAGGAACCATCTTGGTGGGTCAGAGCGTCCAAGCAGGAGAGGCTTGGCGGGTGCAGATCACAAGCGGGGCCATTTTGTCTCTCGGATGCCTGCGGGTGGGGGAGCAGCAAGCTGTCAGGCCTGGAGCTCTGAGGAGAGGCCTGGGCCCCAGTCTCTGACTGTAGCCAGATGAGTCCCGGGCGAGGAGGTGGGCCTGGGTGGATGAACAGAGAGGAGGGCCCGCGCCGGGATGGGCTCTCGGGCACCACAGGACGGGGGAAGGGGGAGTGGAGGAGACAGGGTCAGAGCAGTCAGGGAGGTAGGGGGAGGGCCATGCGGTAGCAGCGGCCGGGAAAGCAGGAGGGCTTTCCAGAGAGAGGGGCAGTCAGCTGTGTCGGGCGGCCGTGAGAGGTCAAATAAGATGGAGATACGGAAGAGGCCACTGCATTTAGCAGCAGGAAAACTGATGGCCACACGGGTCCTGGCGCGGTTGCTGCTGGGAACAGACACCAGAGCTGGCAGGACAGAGAAGAGATCCATAGAGAAGCCAGGGAGGGAGACCCGTTCGAGGAAAGCTGGCAACGTGGCCACAGGCTGGGGACTTTCTCTTCCCAGAAAGCTCTTGAGAACTTCCTGGGAAGAGAAAGTGCAGAGTCCACTCTGTACCATTCTCCCTTTTTTGAATCATGTTTTTGTTCTACCAAGTTGGAATTCAGATTTGTCAGAGGGCCCGGGGGCTCCCTAAGCAGTCCGTCCCCCTCCCGGAGCTGGGAAAGGGCGGCTAAAGCTAAGAGTCCCATGCATTTATCACTCTTGAGTTCCAAACTACTGCATAGGTCAGTGTAGCGAAAGCTACTGCACTTTGTCCTGCATACGGGTCAGCTGATGAGGCCTAGACCCAAACCTGACCCCTTCCCGCAACCCCGCAGAGCTGCCCCAGTTGTCCCAATGGATGACCATGTGTCAGCGGTGACCTTGTGCTCCTGGTGTGGGTGGAACTTGCCAGCATTACCCAGCCATTGACTGTCTCCCTTCCTTCCCTCCCTCCTTCCCTCCTTCTCTCCCTCCTTCCTTCCTTCCTTCCTTCCTTCCTTCCTTCCTTCCTTCCTTCCCTCCTTCCCTCCCTCCTTCCCTCCTTCTCTCCCTCCTTCCTTCCTTCCTTCCTTCTCTCCCTCCTTCCTTCCTTCTTTCCTTCCTTTGTTCCCTCTATACTTCCTTCCTTCCCTCCTTCATTCCTTCTTTCCTTTGTTCCCTCCCTCCCTTCCCTCCTTCCTTCCTTCCTTCCTTCCCTCCTTCCTTCCTTCTTTCCTTCCTTTGTTCCCTCTATCCTTCCTTCCTTCCCTCCTTCATTCCTTCTTTCCTTTGTTCCCTCCCTCCCTCCCTTCCTCCCTCCCTTCCTTCCTCCCTTCCTTCCTCCCTTCCTTCCCTTCCTTCCTTCCTTCCTTCTTTCCTTCCTTTGTTCCCTCCCTCCTTACTTCCTTCCTTCGTTCCCTGCCTCATTCCCTCCTTCCTCCACTCCTTCCTTCCTCCCCTCCTCCTTTCTTTCCGTCTTTTCACCTTCCCTCTCTTCCTGCTCCCACCTTGGGCCCCTGTCCTTGCACCTCCCGCTCCAGATCCGGGTGGTGAAAGCGTTCCGTAGCTCGCTCTATGAAGGCCTGGAGAAACCGGAATCCAAGACCTCCATCCATAACTTCATGGCGACGCCCGAGTTTCTGATCAATGACTACACCCACAACATCCCACTCATCGATGACACGGACGTGGACGAGAACGAGGAGCGCCTGCGGGCCCCCCCGCCCCCGTCCCCCAACCAGAACAACAACGCCATAGACAGCGGCATCTACCTGACCACGCACGGCACCAAGTCAGCTACCTCGTCAGTGTTTTCTTCCAGACCTGGGAGCCCGCTCCACAGCGTGGAGACGTCCCTCTAGGGGACCTGCTCTCAGCACGCGCACACCGCACGCACGCGCACTCGGGCGGGATGGCGCAGGCCTGCAAGGAGAGCACGGCCAAGGCTGCTGAAGATGGTGCTCGGACGGCGCTTGTGAGAAGCTGATCCATCCAACGCTTCTTACCCGGGACTGAAGAGTCACAGGGAGAAACTAGAGAGTGACAAGAGCTGGGTTTCCCTTTTTTCTATCGGAGCATTTTTTTAAACGAACACTACGATTCTACCAGATGTTCGCTGTTTGGGCTGTGCGGCGGGGCAGGGGCCGGTTGCGGTCCAGTGGGAGCTGCGCAGCACCCGCTGGAGAGCAATTGGATCAATCGGTTCATTCAAAAAGAGCGCTGCTTCACAGGCCCGGGAAGGACGCCCCGCCCGGACAGCCCAACGCGGGCAGCCGCCTGCCTGCGGATGTACCTGCACCACCACCAAGCGCCGCTTCCCCAGGACACATGTGCAGTCCGTACGTGTGCGTGCGTGCATAGATATGAGCGTGCGTATACGCATATACGTACCTATATGACCAGATGCATATTTAAAGAATAAGGAGCTATTTATCAGCATGATATTTCCATTCCTCTTATCGGCTGTTTTCATTTTGAAATCTCATTATTTATTGTGGCGGGTTGTTTTTTTTTTTCAGGGAACTAGACTGCAAGAATATCTTTTTGGTTGCTTGCCCCCCTTCCCCCCCCCCGCTGCCCCCCACTTTCTGCCCAGCCTCCGTTCTCCATCCCAGACCTTCCTCCCCTCACAGTTCCCGCGGATGTTGCTGTTGGGATTCCTGGGAAGGTCGGGGACAGAGACATGACGCTGGAGCGGTTATAATGGGAACATTTGCACTTTGAGACCCCTGCCTATAGAAAGGGGGGAAAACCCTTTCAATGGAATTTTTTATTTAAAAGGAAAATACCAAAGTATTGATGAGATACTCTCCAGGATGAGATTATCCCTTCCAGTGGGTGGAAAGGGGAATTTTGCTTTCAGCTTCCTTTCATTTCAACTCCAAGTCCTGGATTCTGGCTGGTGAGCTTTCTTTGTCCGCACCCCAACTTCAACAGCATGAAACACCATCCCCTGCCTCGCTGATGCCTTGGGAGAACCCAGAATTCCTGGAGCAGCCCCAGGAGAGCCAGGGCCAGAGGTGGGGGCTGGGGACAGCATCAAGAGTCAGGCAGAAAGTGGCAGACGAAGAGGTACCATCACAACCGAAGATATAACCACAACCAGGAAGTTGTGCTGAGGTGTCTGTCAAGTCTTCCGATCCAGATCAAGGACATTCAAGGACAACTATGACCCGCAAAGGCATGGATTATGCATCTGCAGCCACCTACGGTGACGTGCGGGAAGCAGATGCAAGAGCAAACACCCTGGGAGCAATGACACCTCGTTGCTGTCTCGCCGATCACACTTGGGGCTGTCTCACCGATCACACTTGGGGCTCTCTCTCACAAGCGGGGAAGGCTGAGGAGGCCAGCTTTGCCATGCCGGCTGAGCACCCGTCTGCAGGTGGGAGAGCTGGGCCTGGGCTCCCCAGACGGTTCCCTCGGGAGCCTCTCCTTGCAGTGATGGCACACCTCGTGCCAAGCCTCAGTTTCCCCTGAATGCACACTGACCACGGAGGGAAGTGCAGAAAAAGCAGAGGTCCCTTTACCTTTCGATTTCATGCGTCTCTCATCTTGCAGAGAGGCAGTTCAGGTACGCGTGCCTGTCACTTGGGCTTGGGGCTGAGCTGCTGAGGGCCATACTCGAGCTGAGAGATGCGGGAAGGAATGGGAACTGCAGGTGTGGACGGGCGGCAAGGCCGGCTCGCATCATGTGCCCTGTCCTACACCCACTGGCAGGGGAGTCGTCTCGACTGCACCTGCATCTGTGAACACCCAGCTTGACATCCAAAACATGCTCAGTTCCCACTGCTAACAGGAACGCCACGTCACCCCTGAGTGGGGGTAGTCAAATCTTGGGCAAAGGAATTTCAGTTAGAAAAGAAAATCCCACTTAAAATGCCAGCTACAGATAACTTAAAGCCATCCCTTTATTCCAAAGGGCACATTGAGAATGTTACCCATTTGTAAATTGTTCCCTAATGTCCTTGTTTAAACAACAACAAAAAGGGCAACTCAATTTGTTGAGGGTCTATGTGTTCTTAAACTAGAAATAAAATTGGAAATATTTCAATTGAAGAAGATAAGCTACAACACTCTGCTCACAGGCTTCTTTTCATTCTCTGTTATAGACACATCAGTGGAACTAATGGTCAATATAGATTTCAAAAAACCCTCACTGCTGCTGTACAAAGTTGCCTACTGTACGTGTCGATTGTTTAGTCCCTAGGTTGCCTTTTCCGGGTGTGGGGTTCGGAAAAGGGGCGCCGTGACCTCGGATTGTTGCTCTGCTTTCTGTACAGTCTTCAGGCCGGGGGACCTGTCACATCAGGAAGCCCCTCTCTATAAAGCGTATTATACGGAATGGCTTGGTCAACTGTGTTCAGTTCTTAAATACGTTTTACATTTTTATCTGCCTGTTATAAAGATGAACAAAAATTATCTTAACGAGGAAGACAAGATGCATAATAATTTAAAGTCTGTAGTTGAATTTCCTAATTTAAAGAATAGTCCAAAAGTTCTGTGTATTAAAAAAAAAAAAAAATGAAAGGCTCCTACAGTCCCAGTCTGGGTAACGTGTATAATTTATTAGCTTTTGGTGAATTCTCTTTCGGAATGAAAAGGGGGTGTCTTCCTCCACTTCGCCAGGCCGGGATGAGCCCCAGGGGAGGCAGAGCTCCCCCTGGGTGTGCAGCCCCCTTCCCAATCCTGACGGGAGGAAGAAAGGGCTCGCCTGCCCTGGGGGGTCCGACGCACTCGTGGAGGAGGTCTGCGTGGTGGCCCTCTGACTGTCGTGACCTCGAGGAGCCTCGCCTGAACGTGCAGAGCCCAGGCCAGCATCCTCAAAGGAAGGTGAGGGCTGGGAAAGCCAACCAAAGTGTGAGAGTTGAGCACACATGCAGACTCCCTCTTTTTCTTTTTATGATGGCAAAATATATATGATATGCAAGTTACCGTCCTAACCATTTTTAGGCACACATTTCAGTGACATGGAATACTTTCACAGTGCTGTGCGATCATCCCACCACCCATCCCCAGCGCATTTTCCTCTCCCCAAACTGGAATTTCTTCCCATGAGACACTAATTCCCCACCCCGCACCCCCAGCCCCTGCTGCCCACCCTCCTTTCTGACTCTGAATCTGAGTTCACATCTCCATGAATCTTAGGGCTACTCTAAGGAACTCACAGAACTGGAATCATACAGTTTCTGTGTATAACTGCCTGATTTCACTCAGCACAGTGTCCCCAAGGCTCATGCATGTTGTAGCCTGTGTCAGAATTCCCTTCCTTTCTGAGGCCAAATAACATTCCATTGGATGCATAGACCACATTCTCTTTATCCATTCATCCGTCAACAGACACTTGAGTTGTTTAACCTCTCGGCTGCTGTGAATCGTGCTGCTGTGAACACAGGTGTGCAAATATCTGTTTGAGTCTCTGCTTTCAATCCTCTTGGGGCTACACCCAGAAGTGGGATTGTTGGGTCACATGGTAATGCTATGTTTAATTCTTTGAGGAACCACCAAAGTGTTCTCCATAGTGGCTGCACCATTTTATAGCCCGCCCCCCCCAGAAGTACACAAGGGTTCCAATCACACACTCCCTGTTTAATCTAAAGCCATGGAAAGAAAACTCATTATTTTACTCCTTCCCTTGCTCCGTGGGTCATTCCCACATCCGTTCCTTTGCTCACTAGGTGTCTTTGAACACCTGTTGGGGGGACATCTCTGCTCCATGACCCACCCCTCTGCTCTGTCAGGAGAGCCACAAAGGCAGCTCTAGTCCCAAATTTGCAAACGACACGGTGACAGAGCCCAGACTACCCACATCGCCTTTCCTTGTGTTTCTATTGCTCCACTCCACACATCACCCTTTTAAACTTGGCATTGCCAGCGGGGGCATGTTCCAGGGAAGCTGCCAAGAAAGAAGAAACATGCCTTCTAAGTTCCCTCCCAACCACCAGAGGCCATACTTCTAAAAAAGGCAAAAAGACAAACAGCAGAAAACAGCAGAAAACCAAATAGCAAAGTGCCCTTGCTTCATCAACGTGTGAGTCCATCTTGAGCCATAAGGCTAAGTACATCTAGCTTGGGCCAAGTGCCGTATCGAAAGAACCGGCACCTTATGGAGACATGTTGCACTTGCCCCAACACCGTTCGTTTCTCTCTGCAGAGCCTCTTTTCCACTCCTGCTATCAAATATGGCCCGGGTTCCCGTGGGAAAGAGTTGGTAATTAGCCAGATGAGTTGAGACAAGGAAGCGCTACATCACCCATCCCTTTACAAAGCGGCCAGAGTTTCCCCACCCAGTGGCACCCTGGGAGCAGAGGTGCATCCTGGGAGCCTGCGGAAGACCCAGTGTGAGTGGACTGGGCCGCTGTAACAAAGAACCACACACCAGGTGGCTGGCAAGAGGCGCTAAAATAACAATAAACAAGACGTTTATCCCCCCCACAGCTCTGGAGGCCAGAGGTCAGAAAGTAAGGTGATGGTTGTCCCTCAGAAGGTTCTAGGAGGCAGATCCGTCCTCATCTCTTCCAGCTTCTGGTGTCGCTGGCAGTCCATGGCTTTCCTTGGCCAGTAGACATGTCACTGCAGTCTCTGCTGTCACATAGCTTTCTCCCTGCATGTCTGTCACTGTATCTATTCTCCACTTCTTTTTTTTTTTTTAATTTTTTAATGTTTTATTTCTTTCTGAGAGAGAGAAAGAGAGAGAGCGAGCATGAGCAGGGGAGGGTCAGAGAGAGAGGGAGACACAGAATCTGAAACAGGCTCCAGGCTCTGAGCTGGCTGTCAGCATAGAGCCCAACGCGGACCTCGAACCCACGAACTGCGAGATCATGACCTGAGCTGAAGTCGGATGCTTAACCGACAGAGCCTCCCAGGCGCCCCTGTTCTCCGCTTCGTATAAGGATACCAGTCACATTGGATTCAGGCCCACCCTACTCCTGCAGGATCTCATCTGACACCGACAAAGTCCCTATTTCCAAATAAGGACCCATCCCCACATTCCAGGGGTTAGGACGGAAACACATCCCTTGAGGGACACCATTCAGTCCACCACAGCTGGAAAGGAAGAGATAGGCTGAGTCCCTCACAGGACCTGGATTGTCCCCTTCCTCCCACTGGCTTGACAGGCCAAGCAAGGCTCGGCCATTTATCACGGTACAGTAATTAAGACAAGCTCTGCGGGGCGCCTGTGGGGGCTCAGTCAGTGAAGCGTCTGTCTGACTTGATGTCAGCTCGGGTCTTGATCTCAGGGTCCTGAGTTTGAGTTCTCCATTGGGCTTAAAATAAAAAAGGTATGCTCTAGACTGAAAAGCTCTTGGAAGCTTTCGGTTCTAGAAAATCTTACTCCAATCCCTTATTGCTGACCAATCCCTCTCCTTCATCGGAAAAACATAGACCCGCGCTGCGTGAGGAGCATGAACAGCACAAGCCCGGAGGCCAACACACAAGCCAGCAAGTGCCGGGGCGGCGTGGTGGGCACACAGGTGGGCCAAGGAATTTTAAAA